GATGGAATTTGGCGGTAAGTTATGATACCACGTCATTGCCCCCTTGGACAAGGTTTCTCCGAACTTTTTCAACAAAACTGACTCGATTTCATCATCTTCGAGATCGTTTCCCTTAATCGCGCATGTGTATGCTGTCACATGCTCGTTTGGGTCCGAGGTCCCATTATACTTCGGGATATCGGGCATTCTAAATTTCTTAGGGATAGGTTTTGGGGCGGCACTGGATGGGAACGGTTTTTGTACAAACTTTTTAGCGTCAAGGCCCTTCAGGACCGGAGGTGCACCTGGTATTTGGTCGACCCTGGAGTTGTATGTTTCTACTTTTTTATTGTTGGCCTCGATTTTTTCCTCCCCCTTTCGATTCGTTCGGTCAGTTCTTCTAGCCTCCTAAGAACCGCAGAATCAGCATCCGGCCCACCCCGTTCCGGCTGTACTGGGGTCGGATTGATGATTGCAGCTGCACGGGGAGCCTCCTCGGACCTGACAGGCTCCTGGACCCGGCTCTGGAGCTGTGCTATAGCCGATTGCTGGGCTTGCAGCATGTCAAAAATCATTTTAAGGTTGATAGTCTCTTCGCCGACTGCCTGGGCCCTCGAATCGTCCTCTCCCTGGACGCTATGCGATGATCCGGAGGCCTAATCAGTGTTGAGCGCCATCCGGGAACCGGCATCTATCGGGTTTTCAAGCCCGGGCATTCCATTGTTTCCTGTCTGCTGTTCAAGTTCGTTGTTAATTGATTGTGCCATTCTATGAGTTGGTAATTTGAATGTAAGATGGACTCTTTTGCAAAGAACCAGTGTATTGTGATGCGTCAAGAAAGAGTATCAAAGAGCTCACCAATATCCTTAGCCCCACGGTGGGCGCCAAACTGTTTACCCTCGAATCCGGATAACAATTGAATTTATATGGGGTTTTAAGGATCCGTGAACTAAAAGATACAAAAGGTTTTTAGGTTAAGGAAAATAAAAATAAAGACTCAACAATTGCTTGTTAAAGTAAATAATCGCAGAATATAATATTGCTTAGAACAATTGTGCTTGATCCTCCACAAGAATTTAGAGAGATCCCCTTTTATACCTTCTGATTAAGGGTAAAAATAAGGTAGGTAAATTGATTACATCGTGGATCCCTGTAATTACGCCTTAATGGCCTGAAGTGGTTGAGAAAATCACGTTTGGGCGAGATATCCGGCGACGCTTGGTTATCCGTTACGAGTCCGGCTTCCGACCTTGGGTGTTTCTCCATCCGGTGGTGACTCCTATCGAGCTCTGTAACGGTCTCGAAATGACTCGACCTCGGTTGTAGACGTGGCCGTCGTTCTACCTTGCATCCAGGTCGGGTTCGATGGCCCCGATTTGCTCCGGACCGGACCCAACCCGGTCGGGCTCAAGCAAAAAAGGGTATCACCCAATACAAAACTATTTTCAAATATAAAATGTATCATCTTTTTAGAATGGATTAATACGAAAAGTATATCTCATAAACTTAAGCAGAGGGAGTATATGATATTATTTTGATATATAAATGGTTCAGACGAGCTATTAAACAATGGCATATTTCATAGCATAAATGAAGCTTTTTTGTTTACAAGAGGGATGAATTTGGCAATTTATTTTGTTTGGTTATTAATAACCCTCGGTACTTTTAAATTTTTATTAGGCATAGGAATTCATTTTGAAACTGTCTCGATCAGACCCTGTTCGGCACTGTTATCTTCCCTTCCCTATGCTGACGCGGCTAAGATTCACTCATTCTCATCTTCATTTCTTTATTTCTGCTCTTCTATTAATAGCCAACTTCTTAAATATAATCCTATTGTTTTTTGTTCCAATAATCACGTTCAACATTTACAAAATCTTATTCTAAATATCTCAGCCCATAAAATAAATAAAAAAATAGGTAAGTTATTCAATCATTTTCTGTGTCTGGCCTGTACTCTATTTCCACCATAAAATTTAGGAGTAATTAAATTAATATATTTCAAATGCAGATAATCTCAAAAAATCTCCTTCAAATACCAATTTCTCTCCCTCTTCTTCACGTCTCTTCTCAGCATTCTGATTTATATTAGTGATTTTCTCAGTTAATTTGATCACAAAAAGCTGCGATTTTGAAGTCAAATCAAACTTTTCCTGATTTTTTGCTTCAAAGTTCTAGAACAGAGCATTTTAAGTGTGAACACGGCACTTCTCGTGATGTTCGTCGGTTGACGTTGACTGGCGAGAGCTGTTTTTTGTGATTCGTCGGAGTTAACGCCGATGACTGGGCAAATCGTGATAGAGTCATCGGCGGCGAGTGGGAGACAACTATTGAGAACGGCGACGGCGATGGCGAAGGAAGAGGAAAAGCGAATAAGCGGAAGACAGCAGAAAAGGATAGGAGAAGTGGCGGGAGGGGCGGCGGCGGAGTGTGCGATGGTATGTTGTTGTTGCCCATGCGCGGTGCTGCACATCCTTTTCCTGGCCTTATACAAAGTTCCGACGGGACTTTGCCGGAGAGCGTGGAGGAATAAGAAGCGGAAGAAGCTTTTGAAGAAGAGGAAAAAAATGATGATGAATGATTCTCTCGGCGTTTACTACACAGCCGATGAGAAGGATTCCGATGGAGGCGGAGATAACGTCGGCGATGATCATGACGGAGGATCATCGGAAACGGCGGATTTTGAAACGGAGATGTGGGACCGGTTTTATGGTGCTGGATTTGGGAGGAGCTCATCTCAAAGGGAAGAGGATTAAAAGGGTGAGAAATGCAAATAGCAATGAATTCGAGGACTGAGGAGCAAAACAAAAAAAGTTGTCACTAATCAAATGCTACAATATGTACACTTGAATTCAGTGTGGTTCAGATCCAGGATACAGAAGTACAGTCCTTATTCATTCTTCATTAAAGTAGAAAAAAAGTTAGAGCTGAGTGTTTTTTTGGCATAGCATTGATGATGTATCTGTAAATTTTAATGCATTTTTGCCCAAATAGGGGAACTTGACGTCATTGACCATTCCCTCCCTTTTTTTACTGGTGAAAATTATTTTCAATGATATATGTATTTTTTTTCGTGGTTCAATTAATTTAAATTAGCACCGAGAAATTTCATTTTGGACTATACAATAATATGTGTGGAGCAAGTGTTTAATTAGAAATTTTTTAGTTCAGAAAATGTGTAAGACTGGCATTGCAGATAGGGTGTTTTTACTAGTTTCCCAAAAAAATCGATTGTTTTCTTTTGTTTTAAGTTTTAAAGTGGTATTACTACTGAGAAAGTGTATTTTTGTAGTTGACACTTGTATCTTCCTCCACTTGATTACTTCATTTGTCTCAATTTTACATGAGACTCTTCTCATTTTGAGATGTTTTAAAACTATTTGACACCATCTAATTTTTCATAAAACTTTCACAATTTTTTTAATTTTAATTTTATTAAGTTACTTGTATGTTAACTTTGATGTTATGTTTTTTCTCGTTCAGTCACTATAATACCGTCCGCAATCATTAGTACTAATAGTTTGATCAGGGGCGACACAACGAATTTTATGGCCTAAAGCCAAATTTTATGAGGGGATTTTAACTTTTTTTAAATTATTTATTTGAAGTTTATTTTTCTAGCTTTTCTTAGATACAAAGTTTTTAATAATTTTCTTATAATCAATAACTCCGAATAAGTATTTCTCAATTGATAATATAACTAATCCACTTAACCTTTCTTGAGACGTGTTGATCTTTGGTAAGAATTTAACAAGCTTAATTTTGAAAAATTCTTTCCACTGAAGCACCTGTAACAAGAGTTATTAACATTATTCCATAAACAATATAGACATTTGGAGAAGAATCAGATCGTTCTGTTTGATTGAGTGTATTAATTAAACTATTATCTTCTAGTTGTATTATTTTTCTTAATACTTTTAATTTAAGAAAATAAATCTAAATCATCAATATCGAATTTATTATTATGCTTTAAGGAACATTCAAGATTAAGGAAATATTTTTTATATGTTTATCATCTAGTGATCTTAGTGTTTCCGGCTAAATAGAAAACCAAAAAAAAATTCATATGCATCGAATTGCTCAAATCTATTTTGAAGTGAAAAAATTGTCTTGTCTACTATACATAAAAGTAATCGATTGGTAACGTAGGAGACATCTCTATTTTTTCCCGGAAAATCTTTTGAATTTCCACGGCTAAGCTTTTAATTCGCTCTATCAAATAAAATGTGAATAACCCGTCCTCTAAAGACTCTTCGAAAGATTTTGAAATTTCATTATATACATTTTTATCAAATTGTTACTTTATATATATCACACGTTTCTTACGCAATTTGGGTTCGATATTGATTTCAAGTGCAATTTTCTTGGCAAAATTTTTAAAAGTTGCAAATCATTCTTCTCTATATTTGTTAAAGAAAGAAATCAAACTTTTTCACTTCACATAACTTTTTTTTAAACTTATACATAACCTATTAGGTATAATAAAAAATGGGACCCCCACAACTATGAGACCTAAAGCAGTTGCTTAACTTGCTTTATCGAAGAGCCGCTCCTGAGTATGATAGAACATCGATTATGCCAATTTTCTGAAGATCACGAATAGTCATTTTTTGGGAGAAGTGTTATTTTAATATCTCCTCTTTCAACTGATTTATGCATGAAACATTATCTTCGCTATAAAAGATTGTGATGAAATGAATATAATCTTTTTAATCTTAATCAGAGATCTCAAATCTAAACTTGTGTTTGAAAAAAATTTTAATAGGGAGCACTTCCCTTCAATAGATCTTTTGTAGCGAGAATTCAAATTAGCCGCATTCAAAGCGAATATCGGATAAGAAACCAAAAAGAAATGAAACATTATCTTCGTACAAGAATGGTTGGTTGTCTCTTTAATAGGTAGAGCACGTGTACATTAATATATGTTAAATCGAATACTACTGCCAATCGAATTTCTACACAACATAGGTATCAGTTTGCCGTTTTATATCAGCAAAACAAAACTTGTCCTTATCTTATGTATCGCTGAATTTTCCTTTTTTAATGCTTGCAATATACGCATATTAAACACTTGCATTGTATGCTCAACAATAAAGTCGCTTGGTAAGCAGTCTAAATTATCTTTGAATTATAGTTTTGAAATTATAATCTCTGGATAAATTTATTCCAGTGAGGAAGTGAGATAAAATAGTCCAAAGTTTGATTGAATAAGGTGATCAGATAAAATGAAATATCCAATATTAAACTCGTCAACGAAATACAGTATAAAATTTAATTCCATACCTTATTCCATCTAATCTCATACCAAACTAAAGGTACCAAGTAAAAATCCACGTTCCATATCGGTGGAGTCTCATGTGTCGATGAATCGCATCTTTGAGAATATTTGATGAGACAACTAATCAGAATAAAAGGAGGACGAACAAGTGGATCCACAACTAACTGAATTATCCTAGAAAAGATTAGTTCAAAATTTAGAGGGTGTTAGGCTAAGCTTATAATCTGGTCAAACTAGCTTATAAGCACTTTTCGGTTTATTTACACGTTTGGTAAAGTTAAAAGTGTTTATAAGTCAAAAATAAGCCAAAAGCCGTAAGCTGGTCACCCCACCTTATGAATTTTTAACTTATAAGCATTTTAAGTTTGGCCAAGATTTCTACTATTTTATCCTTAAAATATTGCTTTTCAGGAAAAACTCCTACATCGGTACTCACTGCCTCAAGTATTTAACCTAACTCCCCCCCCTCCCCTACCCCCCCCCCCCCCCCCGCCTCTTCAAGTCTGCAATTCTCATTGACTGTTTAAGATAAGCAAATTCTCTATTCCTTTGCATATTTATATCTATGTGGTTGTGTATTAATCTTTGAACTTTATACAATATATGAGGACATATCAAATTTTTTGGTGTATTGCTTTCTAAGTGTTGTGGTAATGAAGACAATGTTTGTTTTTCTTCAAATATTTTGTCCTATTAGATTTATTTTTTACAGAGAAACTTTAGTTAATGTATTAATTATTATAACTTATGATTATAAGCTTATCATAAAATAAATTGTATTTACCATAAGAATTATCTTATCTAAGCACAATTGTATTTAAAATATAATGACAAATAAAATATTTTGCATTTGATCGATCTGAAATCTAAAATTGTGAAGAAATTACGCCCTTATAAGTGTAAACAATTCTAACGTTATTTAAGTCGTTTAACAGAAAAAGAGCTTATCAGCACTTTTTTATCAAATACTGCAGCAACTTATCAATTTCAGCACTTGTACCCAAACACGTAACTGCTTATTTGTTAAACCAATTTCAGCACTTAAAAGTGTTTTTCAGCACTCAATGCTTATCAGCTATTTTAAATCAGCTAATTCGAACGGGCTCTTACAGACTATCTTAGCTTAGTCTTCTTCCAATATCCAGTGTTGCTAAAAGGAGTATAAAGATTGCTAATATCATCCCGGGTTTTCCCAGAAGCCAATTTTTTGTCTTCTTTGCACCTTCTACTCCTCTTTGCAATATTCGAAACCAAGGATTAGCAATATAAGCTACAAGTAGATACTTGGTGTACTTCAAGAGAAGCAAAAACCAGAAAACTGTTAGTAAAATGAGCTATTAATTAAGAACTTATATGTACATGCAACTGATATCAGTGTTGATGATCCTAGAATACTTTGATGCTTAATTACCAACTTCTCATTTCGTCACATTGGTATGATCTTCCTTCCAAGACTGACTAGATAAGCAAGGATGATTAACAACAATTTACTCCAATTTGCACATGTTAATTCTAACACAAAAATATGCTAATTTGAAAGAAATTTTGCGTTACTGGCAAGGAAAAAAATGCATTCAAATGCATCAGTTAACAGAATCAGAAGGGTGTTTAAGAAAAAGCACGACCACATCAAATGATTAGATACTCCCTTCCCTTTCAAATTTTATGTGGCGGTATTTGAGTGGACACGGAGTTTAAGCAAGAAAGAAAGACTTTTAGAACGTAAGGTTTTAAACGACATTTCTGTGGCTATAAAAGCATGTCATTAAGATAAAATGACAAGTTCAAATTTAAACTATTTTATAAGAATATAGAAAGCTCTTGTTCCAAATTTTTGGAATGAGACTAAATAGGAAACAATTCCACGTAAAATGGAACGGAGGGAGTACTTCATTTACAGCAAGGATGAACATGTGTGCTTAGGACAATGCTTTAGTTACTGCAAGGATATGCACAGATATCTTCTACTATAAAAGATTTTAAATATCAAAGACACTAAGTAATTCCAGCATATATAAGAAACAAATATGGATTATAGGCATGTACGATGCACAAAAGGAAATCAAAAGGAATACTGAAGGAGAAGGATTAGAAAGCCAATCCCCACAGCTGGGTATCTGTTACCAAAGAAAGCGATTTACAACAGGTGAAAAGAGTAAGCTTACATCATTTAATCATATAAGAAAGTATTTAAAAAAAATGAGCAAGATTGACTAACTTAACCCAGATCCAGGAGCTAGCAACTGTACTGACATGATAATGTTATAGATCAAGAAAAATATCAACGCTTTTGAAAGAGCTTATAGTACCTTCAAGAAAATGAGCTTTAAATGGATCAAGGAAAAGGCCAGCCCGGTGCACTAGGCTCCCGCTATGCCCGGGTACAGAGAAAGGCCGGACCACAATGGTATCAAAGAAAAATTTATGGAAATAAAGAAGATAATAAATATTGCGCATGAAAGGATCAGAGCTAATATA